CTGACGATGGACTCCTGTACGAGTCTGAAAGCTCAGGATAATAAACGAATTGTTCCGGTGCTCGACTCTTCTTCTTCTTCAAATATGTATACACCTGGAACTCGAAATTTCGCCTTCATTCATTACACAATTGTATACTACTAGCTGCCTATTGACGGTTTGTGAATATTACGCGGTTATGCCGCAGTAGCTGATGGATTTCAACTCAAATATTCATATCAAATTTCGGAACGCGCCTGCAAAGGTCTGTTCCGAAGGCTTTTCTCCAAGTTCGCGCATGAATTTCCTCGGAAATTAAACAAGGAAAAAACAAATATCTCATTGCGGTGTCTCCTGTTTTCTTCTACTAACGGTGCCTTGGTTTGATTATCATGATGTTCAGGACACACGGGATAGGCTAGCTACCACAAGCACGCTCTTGAATGTACGAGGAAGCATTTAACCCGCTTTCACAGGCTGTAATCAAATTCGACCGCATTTTGTCCGCAAATCTGCAAGAGCAGAAAAGTGACCGACATATCCTCAAGAGGGCAGGATCCGGGAACAGATGTAATTTCTGTTCATGGAAGTTCTCGTATATAGGAGACCCTAGACAGCTTGCTTCAATGGATTTCAGAATTTTGACGAGTTTTACTACACTCCAGAGAAGCCCCAATTTTCTCACATTGCAGCTGCGACGAAATAGGCAGATCAGTATCGATCGCCAAAAGGTCTTTATGTTTAACGATGTTAAAAACGCTTCATATTCAATCTGTTAAATTCCCGACTGCATGCCTTGAATACTGATTCCTGCTGGGGACACGGTGTGAACTCGTTGATAGTATCGTTGCCACTCGAAGAGTAGGTAAAACGTGTCAGCAACTGCATGTCAACTCACGCACAACGGTTTTTGACATAATTACCATGTTCAGCGTACGAATACTAGTTGTCTAGATCAATTTACCTGCCTGCGGGGGCATGGGGGACGGTGTAAAGAAACTGGAGTGATTCCCCAGCGCAACGTTCTTCTGGCTCATGTTCTGAGAGGAGAACACTAGCGTTGACATCTGATTGGGCAGCAGGAGTAGGTTACGGCAAATTTAGGCACCTGATACTTCTACTACCGCAAGTGACGGGAACGACACTTGTCCTGGAGAGGACACAGTGTGCCTTACTCAGCGCCTACTTCACGCAGCATGTTCCAACATTAAGACAAAGTCAAGAGGACCGGGGCTGGGCTAAGCAGCCGCCCAATTTGAATGTCAACACCCCGCGGAACAAACTTCAAAGAAGAGGGAGGGCTTTGTCTCTTACATGGACAACAGAGGTAATAACTAAAAGCCTTTAGCTAGTACCTGTGTTGTCAGTATGGTAAATAATTACACAATTGCATTTATTTTCTACTTGAAAGCCTTTTTAAGCAAACGGCATGTTTACTGGTTAGTGGCGGGGCATTACCAGGATACATGAGTACCGCGATGACTTTTGGCTGTCATGTTAACAGTAGAGATGCGGCAGTATCCATTTCAAACCATGTGACGTGTTCTTGACACACTAATCAAAATAGGCATTCCTCCAGGAGATAATAGTCACAAAGCGAGTATAATACTGTACGCAAGAAGTACACTAGTTTTAATACATATAAAACTTGTCATGGTCAATAATTCTAGCATTTAGAAATTTGGTTTCTCAATGGAAGCTGCGTGGAATAGAGGAAGCCGACAAAACTGTGGGTCGAACAGCCGACCTCTCGTATGCGCTTCCAGTCATCGAGCTACGATTGGAACGTATTCCAACCGTGTGAATTATCGACATTCCTCTTGACCGCAAGACTACCTAATTCAGTCTGCGTTAGGATGACGAAAATTTTCTGGCCGTGCGAGTGTTACTTACAAGAACCGAAAATGTAACAGGTTTCGACAGTGTGCCTGTTTAATTTCTGCGTCTGGTAGTTTTGCCTTGCAAGCCAGTAGACGGTGCAGCTCGGAATGTAGCAGGCTCGCCCTGCGAGTCAGGATGAGAAAGTTAGTTGCGATTGTCGAACAAGTCGCGAGGAAGACGTTGAGCGAGTTGGTTGGGCCGTGGGAAGTACGACGTGATTTGTCGGACACCGCCTATCAAGCTGACCAGTGTAAAACAGACCCCTGATTGTTAAACACTACCAAGGTCAATATTGCCGCCCTTGACGATGAACACACGGTCGCAGCATAGATATCTATAATTCAGTCATCAAGAAATTGATAAGTCAGTCGGATGTGGTGTGTTAGCGACACCTGAAGTAAGCAAACCCCAGTCACCTCTAATACAGGACCGGTGGTAATAAGTTTTTATAGAGGTGGGGCCGGGGAACGCACAGGCGACGAGGTCGAGTAGTTGTATGCAAAAGAAAAGCTATTGGGAATGCGCGGTTGTACTTTGGATGGGTGAGAAATAGTTACGTTAACCCCTAACCCTGACCTTAACCCCTAACTCTAACCCCTAATCCTAAACCCTAACCCCTAACCCTGATCTCTAACCCTAAGCCCAAATCATAACCCCTTACCATTGTCCGGAACCCAAACTCTAACCCCAACCCCAACGGCATTGTGTCTATCAGATGGGGCTACCAAATCACATCTTACCCATAACTCAATAACCAAGACATCGTCTATTACCCTTAAAAGTACTGAACTGCACTGAACTGAACTATAGGGGGTCTAAATTATCGCCTTTTGATTAATACTCCGGCGATATGGAGTCCGCAGTAAACTCAAAGAGTTAAATTCGACAAGAGGGCCATACATGGAGTAGTTTAAAAGCGCATCAGGTGCATTTGGCTGGATTGAGCCGAAAGAGAAGACTGCTACCCGCAAAAATTCGTCAAACGGTGCATACGCAAACGGGATGAAAATCCAAATCGCACAGACCCCAAATTTTTGTGAACGCCTCCGTACGTCAAGAACGTTTAGAAAGCCGTCGGCAGCCTTCTCGCAACACTGGGGCATTAGAGTTGCACACAGACCGGGCATCAGGCGTCAGGTAATGGAACCGAAAGACCCACTGTCAAGGCAAGATGCATCTGGAGTCGTTTATCGGATCTGATGCAGTTGCGGACAAAACAACTACACGTCGGAGAAACCGAAAGCTAGCTAAGAACGAGAATGGCTGAGCACGTCGCAGCAGTGTGTAAAAACAACACAAGCTCTGGAGTTGCGGCTCATTCGACGGGTTCCGGCCACACATTTAAATTTGACGAGGCAGAAATTCTCGCAAGAGATGATAACCACGTGAGCGGGGAGCTGCTTGAGTCATGGTTTACTGGCCACCCCATTCCATTAACAAGTGTAATGACTTTCCTATTCAATACTCGGTGCTGAGACTTCGCCTAGGCGGAGAAACCAGCCACGCGGGGAGCGCACAGACGAACACTGCGGGTCAGATCGTCGAGCAACCATCACACCAACATCCAACACCCGTGAAGAAATTGCAGTGATTAGCGACGCGAATGTCGGCTACCAAACAATCATTACACTAAGTGCAACAATCCCTGATTAAGGGGGGAGCCGTGAATCTTCATAAGTGTGCGGTAGCATGGCGACTGCATCCTGTAGTTCATTGTGCATGAAATACCCGCATCTGCTATTGTCTCCGATGATAGGTTCGAGCCGGAATCTGAAACGTCCGGCGAATAAGGCCCTAGTTCCAGCGATCATGTAACAGGTACAATAAACTGTTACCATCAGCGCTGTGCATTTATGCATCAGTCTTGAATTAATAATTTTCGGAGATGCCTAACTTAATAACAATTAAGCAGGTTATGAAGACGGGGCGAATAAGATGATAACAAGGGAGGGGGGGGTTCAGAAAGGGGTAAACGTACATTGTAAAAGTTCGCCCCATAGAGGATTAGCAAGCTGGCCATATCCACATCCCCGGCAGTGATGGCCACGGCCAGAGCTGTCATCCACCGACCATTCACAGTCACCGCAGCGTTGGGATTCGCGTTGGCCTCCAACAGCACTTGCACCGCCTGAATTCGACCAAAGTAGGCAGCAATCACAAGCAAAGGCCAACCCGACAGGGGGTCCACAAAGTTGGCATCACCACCACCGCCGCAGTCCAGCAGACGTTGCAGCAGGTAGGGTCTGCCCTCACCGGCGATGATGGCCGCCACTAGGGCACTCTGTGCGCCCCCTCGGGGTTCCATCGGAGGTGCCATAACGGCGTCGCCTCCATTGCTGGGCTGGCTCTCGCTGAGTAGGTTGGCCAGACTTGAGGAGGACAGTGTGGCCAGCAGGGTCCACTGTTGGTGCTTGATGGCAGCCAGGAGATCAGTCGGCGTTTCAATGGTGAAACCGTCTTGGAGAGGTTTTAGACAGGGGAAGGCAGCCAGACTTGAGTCGCTGGAACAGCTGCACTGCAGGTCATGGTTGATGGTTTCGGTTTTGCTTGCTGCCGTCGCATTCCCCTGCCCCTGCTCCTCCTCCTCCTTCCTGTTCTGGTTACAGAGACTGAAGTAGTAGGACAGGAGATCGCTCACCAGCGGAACAGACTGTTGAGGTTCTGGGGGTTCAGGCAGGGGCGGCTCCTCCTTCGCGCCTTCCACCTGGAGGATAAAGCAAAACAGGAGAAGGGGGCGTAGTTTGTCGGCAAGTAAACCTACATCACAGACAACATAGCCTGGTAGAGGGGGATACACCCGTCGCGTTACGAGCCGGAGACGGCACTCTAGTCCCCCCCCCCCGCCTTGTCTTTGTTGGTAATGCTGCTCTGTCTGTATTACGCGCTGCTGTGCAGCTGTTGGCGTGACTCGAGGGAGAGCCAAAAGGCACAACGGGATGTGTGAATCCCCGCTTCGTTACTGAGCATGCACGATCTGCTCAAAAAATGATCTGCATAAAAATGACTTTGAGGCAGGATCCTTACTGAAGACGATGAGTGCGAACGTTCCAACTGCTGTTGACATTACGCTCAACAGTGACGCCAACGAGGACTGACAAACCTCGAGCGACTGTCGAAAAGGCCGAATCACGCAATATTTCTTCAGAAATGTCTGAACTAAATTTTATAGTGGAAGGACGTTCACCACCGATCAGGTGGAGCTCTGTCTTGAACTTTCGCAGGTAGTCGCATAGCGAACAGTGGCAGGTGCCGGAAGGAATACTGACCGATACAGGAGAGACTGGTATGGCCGTTTCTGGCTTATCAGCCGTCATCTGTCAGACATACCCAACACAGGTCTGCATGGTCTGGAATTCGAGGCCGGGTTTTTTGTGCAGCAAGCGACAACTGGTCCGAAGCTGTGCGATTGCGCCACGGAGTTGTTGTCCAGTCGGTTGTGATCGGGAATACTGACTATGGTGGAAGGGCAATAGAGACGTGCCCGTCCCATTGTCGGTATTCTTTCCTGAACGATATGCCCACTCTGGTTGGCAGCTAGATGCATGGAAACCTCCTGGACTAGATAATAAACAAATTTATGAAATTATACAATTCATATTGACCAAACTGTGACGAACTCGGCGCCTCGGTGGGATTCGAACCCACGCAGTAAGGAGAAGGCTCTGGTGCAGCCAACGCCCTAACCACTTGAGCTAAGAGGCCCCGCTGGACGTCGCGAGTTTAATCAGATTTGGGTCAAGTTACCCGCCCAACCTACTGCAACGTCTGGAATCCACCAAATCTGATACAGTAGGTTGACTGTCCAGGCAGGATTTCCTAAGTAATTCACCTAGAATCCACCAGATGGCTTGCGTCATTCATAGATGAGGATAATCATTAACTGTTGTAAAGGCCGAGATTGCGAGTAAAGGTCAATTCAGTGGCGTCATCAAATTACGAGATATCATTTTAATCGGGTTCCTTCCTGCGATCTAGCCATCTTATACCATTTTAATTTTCCGTACTGCTTCCACAAGCCGCGAACCCAGTCCTGCATCTATGCAACGACTCCGGATACGTGAGCGAGAGGTTTCGACAGTCTTCGACACATATACAATCTGCTTCATTTGTGACGTTTGCTTTGTTCAAATTAGTCAGCTTGCTTTTGGAAGTTTCCACGGGCGCATTTGAAGACAGATATGAGTATTTGAAGACGGACGGTCTTAGAGCTCGAGCTCTGTTCATATCTGAGGGACTCAAATAACCAAACGTTTTCGTGCTTTAGTGGCGCTTCTAAAATAAACTTCTACAACCTGATTGGCAACTCTGTTAACCTTCCCAGCGATAACCTTGCGAAAGCCAGTTGATCGGATAAATTCCCCCAAAATGCCATTTGTGAAGAAATCCCAAAGTGAAAGAATTGTCACCTGTGAAGAAAGTTTTGAGACTTCTGAACTGACTTGCCATTTTGTCACTTTTATTTGCGGAAGACCATTTATGTCTACTAACAGATAAGGCTCTCAGCTGACTACGACGGGGCGCTTTTGAAGAAAATAAATGTTTAGAGAACAACATTTTCACTGAAAGTGTTGTTTATTACGTTACCGACAAAGACAAGGGAGACTGGAATGAACATTCCTGGCTTATTTGCCGTCATCAGTCAGTCATACCCAACCCCGAGGTGTGGGACACCTGGGGCTCGATCCCGCGACCTGTTGGTTGGAAGTCCAAGACCTCTAACTGAGACATAACAGAATGAGAGTGTTCCGTGGCGCGATCTATGCGCGGCCCTGTGCCAATTTTAATATACCCGATTGTAACCGGCAGAACAACGTGTCCCTGGCTCAGGGGTTGGGGCGTTGGACTTCTAACTACCAGGTTGCGGGGTCGAGCCCCAGGTGTTGCACAGATTGGGGTTGGGCTTGGCTGGCTGACGACGGCTAATGAGCCAAAAAGGGCTGTTCCAGTCTCCCCTGTCTCTGTCGATAATGTCATTCTGCCTAAAGCATTTTGGGCGGGCTGGTGGCATGAATACGAGATCAGATCGAGCAAAACTGGCTTAAGCCGGCCAGCGAACATCAAGTGATCGATAAGGGCCGAAGCTACCGCCCTCATCTCTTCCCCAACCCAAGCGCCTGCCGTAGCGCCAGGCCCTGTATGGGCACCCTTCAGCCAACTAGGCGGTCCAGTCGAAAGACCAAATATCACCAGAATCGGAATTCTGCTGGCATGCTAGCTTAGCCTCGTGAACTGGACCATCGCCTATAGAACTACGCAGGCCACCCAACTACCTATGCAGACCGTCTCTTTGCCCCGTCAAAGTGTGAACTATCCTAACAGTCCTGTCTCCTATGATTTAGACTTTGGGCAATTACGTGCCCAGTCATGTAGAATGGTGGCCCCCCATGAACGCAGTAAATCCCCCGTACGTTCTTCTGTTCCCCACTTAACATTGAATAGGTACATGGAAAAAACCGCCTGCCGCGGCCTTAGCAGTTCAGCACTGTAAAAACTTATACGCAAACTAATATGTTACTGGCAAAATGTTAGTACGATGTGCATTTAACATTTACATAGTACGCACCGTTTTTAATAGAGTCAAGGACATTGCTTACTACCCTAAAATATACTACTATACTACTATAAAGTCCTAGCCTGACCCAATGGACTTGGGGTCCGACTAAAAGAAGTCCATAATAAATGGGACATTTGTAAAAGTGTTTGGTGTGCTGTCAATACGACCCATATGTAGCAACTTTAGTCTAGAGGGATGATGGACATAAATCAATTAACTGGCTCGAGGCTTCGCGACAATTTTGTTTTTTTCGAAAATGGCGGTGAACACCAGTGACGGTGTGACGGAACAGGATGCTCTGAGAACACTGACATGGGCGTTGCGGCACGGCTAGCAGACAAAGGGCATTCTACGACCGCACTCGACAGGGCAAAATGCCTTGAGGAGGCAAATGCGCTCTTGGAGGATGGAAATGAAGATCTTCAATGTGACGGAGAGCTGGTGAAGAGGTTTGTAGCGTGACTCCAAAAAATATTCGCCAACCTACAGAACAGAGACCCAATGCCTCACTGGGAAGACTGACTGTTGTGATGCTTAGAATTCCACACATAGGAGTCACCTACAGCAGTCAGTCGAGCTACTCAGATGTTAGCAGACTCGACAGTATGCAACTCGACGCCGGTGCGGTCATAAGATCACTTACTGTAACCCTTATCCTTACTTCGAGCCCGACTATATGAGAGCCATTGCGGGGAGTCGAGCAAGACGTTGAAAAGAGGGCAGCCCAACCGACTGATTCAGGAGGCAATACACTCCTAAGTGACAACGTATAAGCAAATTAAGGGTACGACGATGGAATCACCGACTTCAGACTTCGTCGCAGAGGAACTCATCGAAAAATTAAATAAGCCAATTACCACGAGCCATAGACAACGATATCGGACTGGATATGTCGACGATACTCTTGAAACCTTCATGCGGACAGTGATATCAGAGGCCTATGAAACATTGAAATCTGTTCAAAATGCAAGCGGAGGGCAACAACCAGCCGCCGTTCCTGGACGTCCCTATCGTTGAGCGCCCCCTACCATTGTATATTCCCGATCGAAACCGACAGGGCAACGGGCATTTGGCCCAGTGCGTGGCCCAGAGGCGTGGACTTCTAACTACCAGGTCGCGAGTTCGAGCCTCGGGTGTTCCACACTTCGGGTTTAGGTATGACTGGCTGACGACGACTGATAAGCCAGAAATGGCCATCCATTGTCCTTGTCGATAATGCTATTGTGCCTATATCATGCGCCGCTGTGCGGCTGCTGCTTGGGCTCGAGAGAGAGCCATTTAGGCACAACGGAACGAGTGAGCTCCGTAAAAACGATCGACGAGCGCTGTGCGGCTGCTGGTTGGGCTCGAGAGACACATTAAGGCACAACGGAACGAGTGAGTTCCGTAAAAACGATCGACGAGCGCTCCTCTACCATTGTATATTCCCGATCGCGACGGAGAATACAACGAGTCCGTGGTCCAGTGGTTAGAGGCGTTGGACTTCAAACTAAGAGGTCGCGAGTTCGGGCCTCGGGTGTTCCACACTTCGGGGTTAGGTGTGACTGACTGACGATGGCTAATAAGCCAGACATGGTCATTCCAGTCTCTCTTGTCTTTGTCGGTAATAGCATACTAAAAGACAAGTTGAAACCAGAATATGACGGTATAAACCGATACTCCACAAACATGCATAAAATCCTGAAATACCACAGCTGGCACGGACTATAACACGAGTGCAGATGTGTGTAAACCTCCCGTAGGAATCTGAATACGTACTGCAACAAGAGGAACTACAATGGATGGACGCCAATATCTACTTCATGCTAACCGGTATGCCAGGGACTTCGTCAACTCGGCAGGTAGTTTAGACCAGTGTTCAAAGACGAAACAAGTAAAGCCTGGAGAGCCCTTCCTAACAATCCTTCCACAGCAGCCAGTCATCTCTTAGGGCTAACCTGTCAGGAGACAAACGGAGTACATGGTCTGTTGGGTCAAATGCGGTGGGTATGACGTGAGCAACGTTAGAGGACAAGCGACCACGGACGCTTGTACGCAGAGCGGGTGGATCTCTCAATTCTGGTGGTGGAACACTATTCTAATTTTGGACACGCGCTCGCCTTCCGGGACGCTGAAATCTTGCGTCGAGAGCATGACAACACGACCACAGAAACCCTAGAAGCCCCGCACACAGGAGCTCCTATTGACCTCTATGTGAAATTCGATGCGGCCTAGCAAGCCCCACATTTGCGGCTCAACCAATAGAAACACTGACGAGAGTGCAGCCCTGCCTCGGACACAGACGCAGCAATTACTGCCCGAGCAATCGGGGGTGTGAACGTCACTGCGTCAGCAAATAAGTGCGAGGACGCGGGCGTTGACCGCGCCCACCCCCACGTGGGTCCCTGACTGGAAAGCACGACCGAGAGTTCAAAGCCAGGTGTTACCATGGCAACAGACCTGCGGCCTCCCCCCTCGGTGGAGAGACTACAAAAGTGGCCCTTAAGTAAGGGCGCGTGAACGCGGTCGTCACCCTTTAAATGTTGTAGGCCGGAGTAGAGGACCCGGCCCCGGTGATGAGAGCTTTTTCCACTACGAAGCGCAAGAAAGCAGCCTTTTCTCCTCATATCTGCATAGCTGTAAGCCAGAAGGGACCTCTCCACTGCTGCAGTAATCATCTTAGTCCATGCAACCTTTCTCAAAAACAACCCGTTTTAAGCAGAATGGTATTACCGATATTACCGTTGTCTTTGTCGGTGATATCATTCTGCCTATATCATGCGCCGCTGTGCGGCTGCTGGTTGGGCTCGAGAGAGGGTCCATAAGGCAACAACGGAACGAGTGAGTTCCGTAAGAACGATTGGTGAGCGCCCCCCACCACAACTAGTTTTGCATAAATCGGATCTTGCGGAACAGCCCACAGGACAGTACTAACTGAAAACTGCTGAATCCCCGTTCTGTCAAGCGTCACGCTAACGGCATGACCAGGGAGGAGAGCGTAGATTAGGGGCCTTAGAGAACCATGCATCCGCTACAACAAATGATGGGAAAACTCCGTCTAGGTAGTATGTAACCTTTTCAAATTCTCAGGAATGTTTTCAGCTAAAACCAGTTCCGCATTTTGGCGAAACAAAGAGCCTATTATGGAAGTCTGAGGCAGAAGTTGTTTCGCATAATTGAGTGAAGTATGAACAAAATGAAAGCGGATAAAAAGTTGTCAAACTTACATGCTGCGCTTCCTCCACCAACACGTCTGAAATGACCGTGGACTCCTGTGTGGGTGAATTTTTTTCAAATTGGGATGGACTGGAATCCATCTGTTCTACGGTCTCCTTCTTGGCATCTTCAGTCTTAATCAGATCAATATCTTCTCCTTCGAGTCCTCCTTCTACAACGTCTTCTTCTGGTTCCGCTTCTTTCGTAATAATTGGTTCTTCGATTTTTATCGGCTCGGCAGACAACTTTTCACCGGTTTGCAGTGGGGCAGGCCGAAATGCGGGCAAAAAACGCGTCCGCTTAGACCTATGTCGACGAGGGAACTGCGTTCTCCGTTTGGAAAAAGAGGAAAAAGTCAGTTTGAGACCGCCAAGGCGCGATATTTTTTTCCGTCTGCCCTTCAGACTGGGAAGTCGACCGGCAGCTGAGTCATCCGTGGTCGTAGGGAGGGAGGCCTCCCCGGAGGCATCCTCTGGATCGGCCCTGTGATGAGTGCTGGTATCGGTCTGAGAGGGGGCCGAATCAGCGGAGACAGTGTCGTCTATTGATCCGTCTGTTGACTGTGTCAAGTGTTTGGGTGATGAGGGTTCACTGTAGCGTGCCGGTGTTACCGCGTCGGTGTCGCTAGTGAGCTCCGCAAGGCTGGCCGGACGACTGAGTGAGTCCTCCTCATTGGCCGAGTGGCCTGAACCATCTGTAATGCAACGCCGTCGGGTTTTTACCCGAGAGTAGAGGTCACTTGAGGTGAGATCAATTTTTCCATCTCTAATATCATCAAAGTACTTCGTTTTTAGGGCGACCAGCTCATTCTTCGGGACATATTCAAATCGTCCGCTGCGGGATTTGCCAATTCGCCGTTTTTGGCCTTTCATGAATTCCGTCTTGGCGCGCGACCTGCCGCTGTTGGAGGAAAGGGCGGCGGCGGCGGTGGCAGCGGCAGTTGTTTGTGGAGAATTCGTCTTTGTTGAGGAGGCGGAGGAGGAGGATGGTATTGGAAGCTGGTTGCGGGATTTCTTCCTCTGGTGAAATTTGTAAATTAGGTTCCGAACATTCGTCAGATTCTCCTCCGGCTCCCAGCTCTCCTCTTCCGCAGCAAAGCCCTCCCAGCGCACTTTGTAGAATTTGTGGTTTTTGATCAAACGCTCAGCGACTATCGATTCAACGAAGTAAATGCCATCCTGCGAACAGCGTTTAGACTTTGTCGATCCGCAGGATCGCATTGATTGGGACTGGACCGTTGGCGTTGCAATTGGCTTCCAGGTGGGACAAGGCCAACACCGACAGTGTCCTGTTGGCCCGCGTTGAAGGACTAAATGGGAGAAAACTTTTGCTAATTTTCCGTTAAAGAATACCCTCACAACAAAGAGGACCAAGTTCAATTTCACAGAAAGTGGCTTTAGCGAATACTTAGGTGGCTTCCCATGCAGTTAATGACAAACGTTGGGTTCTCGAGTAACTGTTGTATTTCCAGTCTCGCAAAGTTAGATTTCGCTGTGGTATATATTCTAGAGAAGTAAAGCTATGGACAGTTAGAAAAGGGGGTCAAATGTGAAGAAATCTACGTCATCACTCGGCGGCTCGGTAAGCGCTTAAGGTCTACAGCACACGGATTAAGCAAAAAGGCTGCGAAGCTTCCAATAAGCAGTTGATACAAAACGTATTTTGGTATCGAACGCAGATGGGCAGAGACTAAATCAGTATGTTATTAGCGACAAAGACAAGAGAGACTGGAATGGCCATTTCTGGCTTATTAGCCGTCGTCAGTCAACCATACCCGACCGCAAGATGTGCAACACTTCGGGCTCGGTCCCGCGACCTGTTAGTTAGAAGTCCACGCCCCCAACCACTGGGCCACGAGCCCGTTGCCTTGTCGGTAATAACACATTGCCTATATCATGCGCCGCTGTGCGGTTGCTGGTTGGGATCAAAAGAGAGTCCGTAAGGCACAACGGAATGCGTGACTTCCGTAAGAACGATTGTTGAGCGCCCCCCTACCAGAGAATAAATCCTTTAGGTCTGAGCGACAAATGAGACTAGCTGATGACTACCCGTAAGTCATAAATGGACAATCCAGTCACCTTTTAATTTCGTAGCACTCCTTTCAGTTTGATGAAAAGACGAGGGCTCCCGGGACCCTGTTAAAGACTGGTAGCATCTTCAAACAGTTGGGGGAAACAGACTGTAGAAACGAAACTAAAAAACGGAAATCGCGCTTATAACTAAGTCGTTGGCCCGAACCGTTAAAATGGCCATTTTGGTAGAAAACTGATCTGCGCTAACCAACACAGCCAATGACAATGTCGTGGGCAGGAACACCTAGAGGATACAGTGGCGGATGAGGGCGAGATTTTCATCGAAAGTTGGCCTCGAGGTAGGCAGACTCTCGGCCCCGATGGATAGATAGTCTCGAGGTATGAGACCGCCATGATTAACGCAGGCAGGTTCGGACAGTCCACTGGTGAAGGCGGACTCCATGTCCACGACACTTCAGCGCACTTCTCATTATGGTAAATTTACCGTGACGCATTAAAAGTTCTGGCTTGGAGGACTGCCGAACGGCGAGGTATCCTGGTCACTACCAAAACTGCCAGTGCGGTTCCATGGCTCCTTTATGGGGGACTGTTTCGCATGAGATATAAGCAACCCTCATCGGGTTGAGTATGGCACACGAAGACGGGCTGCGTTCAACCCCACCTCCAGTCGCCTTGATATTGTCTTACCATCGGTTTCTCGTGGAGGAGGGAGAGGCGAGTGCGTTATACGTCCGCAAGTCTGCTTCACTGTAAACTGCTTCAGACAGTGGAGTTCACCGTCCGCGAGGTCGAACTATCCTATCGAGAGGCAATATCTCCAAGTGGGATTGGCACCGAGCAGGCTAATCACAACGAAGCGAATATTGTGCACAATCCAAAAAGGATGTCTCTAATACAGTCACCTTAGCATGTTAGGCGGGATGGGGGACCTTAACCCTATCATATCCCCGAAAACTTCCATGAGCATCTACGAATCTATGCTGTATACCTTGAAACCGAAGAAACCAACATTGTCCACGCACTCTCGAATGCTTACTCGTCAGTAGGAAGCCGGCAAATAACTTGGATTATTGAACTGCATAATATTAGGTCGATCGTCCAAGACCCTGTTATCGGCTGTTGAGATGTTCTACATAATAACCAAGTTAGCTGAGGCAGGTTATTCATACAGATGGTTAAAAACCATTAACTCCCCTTTCAACTCCGAAGCCCGGTAAGAAAAGCAAGCGCGCTAAAATAAACTTGGAGAAGTACAAAACGACTAAGCGTCATGTTCGGAAATAAAAATTTTGGCTACAGATGAATTCGCTGGCTTTATTGGGTAAACTGATAGCAATCAAGAAAAAATAGAAAGGGCGGAGCTCTAGCTCGGACGCCCAGGTGCGCAATAAAACGTTCTCGTCAAGTAATGAATTGTAAGTTAATATTCTCATGCAACGGCAGAATTAATAGCCACTCTTAACCCGACCAGGAAGACGGAGCTTGCTTGTTAGCCTTCCTGCCCAGTGTCTACGTGTGATGAACAGTGGTCGGTCTGACGAAGCAGTGGTGGCGCTGTGACATGGCCAGCAGAAACCATCATAAAATAAGTTCTTTGTCCTGGCGCTGCCTTGTGGTCAAGACTCACACCGAATGTCCTAGTTAATGAATATGGAACCTAACTTATGACCAACCCTTTGAATCAAATGAGAGGCTTAACCGTGCTGCGACGTCCATGGTAAACACCACGCCCAGGACTCTGGCAGTTAGTGAAGTGGTGAATATGCAAGCTGGCGTCTTGAAAAGGATAGAGAACTGTTTATTGCATGCTTGAACGTGAAAAATTTCCTTGCAGTGAGAGTGCAGGGACTAACTATGTGAGCATTGACGAAGCACTAAAGTCTCGTATCTCCGAGCGGCAGGATAAGGATGGCAGAAGTTGCATTCGTCTGCAAGAAAAACGGACGATCAATTTTAACACGGTATGCGAGTCTTCAGTACTGTAACTATTAGAGGGGTTTGCACTTTTCTGACCTGCCACTCAGAGAAGGCTCTGTAGTCGATATCATAGAGAACAATCGATCAACGACACAGCGGTCAGATGGTGTAAATTATTAAGCATTACGTAAACATTGAAAATTATGAGTTTAGTCCCTTCCGAAAACAACTGCCACAGAGAGTTGACGATCAAACTTTCGGCCCCTATGGGCCGCTCGCGGAGGATCGCCGATAGTGCACGACGACTGAAGGCCATCGGAAATACGTATGCAGAAAGAAACCAACACTTGATACAGCTTTGGCGCTGGTTTTCGAGCACGTTCGCAAGACTAGCGCGTCATTATACATGCGAGTGGTCTACTAAAAGCCATCTACTGGTCTGGATAGTGTTTGGTAAGGCTCTCCTTGCAAATAGTATGGTTTCGTGCGCATCTTTTCTCCACTTCTCTACCTTAAGTGCGAAGTATACTCAGTCTGGTACAGGAAATGAGACGTCAAGCACATGACTGTATGGTGACTAAATGTTCTTAATTTATAAGTGCAATGCACCCACTGAAGAAAGTGGCCGTTAGGCGCCTATTGTAGCAGTGAGCGATAGCTGATTAACTGTGAAAGCAAACCTGACGACATGCAGAGGTAGAACTGTCATTGCGAGATGAAGTGCGCTTATAGGCTGGTGACAGTGTAACATTTGCCGGCATTGAGGACTAATTTCGTATTCTGCTGAAGCATATACCGAACCAACTCATAGATTTCAAGACAATTATGGGGCGACAGTCTGCGACGGAAGCCATGAAGTCGGGCAGCAGACAGTGCCCTTTACCATCTAGTGGACCATTTATTGAGAGTTCTAAAAAGTTGCGCAACAAACATATTTGGTGAGATTTCAGCGCGGTAAGTACGGACGGCCTGCCGATTCAACAGAAAAGTAAGGTGGAATCTAGCTTAATTTAGACTGTATGGCGTCTTTTCAGTAGCATTCACTAAGCAGAAGGGATATCGATGGGCGTTACGTCTTTCCGTAGGCACTTGGTATAAGAAAATACTTATATAAAGAAAAGGAACTTTGATTACGATATGGCTGGAAAGACACAGAGTGCGATAGTCGTATTAGCGGTTTTTGGCGCTCCTGTAAGCGTAGTCTCACAGTAAGTCCATAATTTAAACTGGTAATGACTGTGAAAGTAGTTTCGTGCAGGTTGTGTACAACCGAGGAAATCAGAGCACATATAACCTAAATACAAATAGGAGTTCCAGTAAGATAGTGATCCGCCAGTTGTTTGGCCAATTCGCGAATGCGGGACTTTCTCCACCACTTTCCTACATTATCAGAACGATATCAGTTTCTTCGGGGACCTTTTACACCTGGCGTAATTTGAAATTGTGGAATGCGTTGATAGAGCGTCCTATACGCTGAGTAACGGAAAAACGCAATTAAAAGTCTACTGATTTTTAGAGTATCAATCAAACAGTACGAAAGAAGAGGCAATTTTAACTTCAGAGGTTTTATAAAATCGTCATTATAATGACGATCTGAAGGATATATCCTTCAGAACCCATGCATAAAGAGACCATGAAAAGTGGCGAGTCTTGAACACAGGTTTTGCTGCCGAATCTTGGACAAATTCAATGAGATACTTTTGGAACTTCCTGACATTGCTGGCACCATGCTGCTGCAAAGCATGCTATACGCAAAAGAGTCCGTGATTGCTTTGGTCACATGCAACAAACTGCTGATCACAAACACATGAAAATGATTCAGCCGGAACTGGCGTTTATAAATGAAAGAAGTCCTAGGCAAGTTTTTTTGAAAGTCATGTTGTAACCAATATTATAGATGATATACTCCTCGATCGAGGAGTATATCATCTATAACTAAGTGGACGCCATATTCGCGGCGGAGAAACAACTCAAGCATGTACAAATGCAAGAAAACATTATTGTCAGTTAATTCGACAATTGGTGGGCCAGAAATTTCGCCAATTCACTTATTTGGTCGAGCAAGATACAAATTGTGACGTTTAGGGCTATACATAATTTTAATGGGTCGCTGCAACTAGGGGTGGAGCATGTCAGGATTACATTGGTGGACGCAACAATGTCATAGATTAAGACTCCGGATCAACACTTTCGCATCTAAATCAACAGAGACTTTGCATGTACGTATGGATGAATTTCAGAAAATCAGAAGCATGCGGTCTGCTCGAATA